TGGACACAGAAGGCCTGGGGTTGGGGGATGGGAGCAGGGAGGAGGGGGTCAATAGGAGAAAAGACGGGGGACGTCTGTCATACTTCCAACAGTAATGATACATTTTTTAAAATGTAAATTTCTAAACAGCAAAAATATTCTAACCACATTGTAAAAGGCTACATTGTATCTGGACACATTAAAGAGCTGAGGAAAAGCCCATGGGAAATAAGATATTATAGCAGATCCCAAATCCATTTGGGGCATCCATTCCAACAAGTGAAAGAAATCTCGAATGCGCAATCATTGGAATAGACACTGGGGGATGGACGGTGTCCGGACACTGCATTCAGACATGAGTGTCACAACCCCCCAGCGTGGGCGGGCCAGGCTCTGGACACAGGTATAAGGGTAGCACCTTCCAGGTAGACACGGTGGATGTTTTCAGAGGAGGTCTCCACCTCCAGGAAACAAGAGTTGTCTGCTGTGTCCCCAGACTCCGCACGCTTGGGGGACAAAGCAACAATGCAGGACCGTTGGCTGTGATTACAAAGCATCTGTGCCACAGGGCACTTCTGCCAAACCCTCCGATTCTGGCCTTTGGGGATGACATTTAGCTGGAGCTTGTGCAACCATTTTGAAGGGAGGCAGCAGATGACAGCCTTGTGCTTGGAGACTCGGATTCCTAGAGGCCTCTGCAAACTCCAGAGGCACCAAACAACTCCCTGCAATGTTATGGGCCCCAAAGAGAACACGTTCTAAAAGAGTCATGATCCACGACACCCGCTTCAGCCCTCAGAATGGAAAATGCCAAACACACACACTAAAATAAATGAAAGCAATTCTCATGCTTTTTGGAGGGAGGGGGGTGCTGCTAGGGACCATGGACAGCTGTCCGAGTAATTGTAGCAAGTGTGGGTTTAGCAGGTCCCCACGCTGAAGGGGTATTTTTGTACACACACCACATATGGAGGCCAGGGGACCACTGACCAGTGCAATTTGATCCTTAGGCTACACTGAAGACTGACTTGTTGGACACCCACGGAGATTCGATGCAGACTCAGTCCTGTAGTGATTGGGGCACAGTCTGCATTGTACCAGAACCAAGAAGCCAATAAGCGTATCTTGGAAAGAGCTGAATGACCCTCAAGGGGATGGATGGATGGATGGATGGATGGATGGATGGATGGATGGATGAAAGGATGGATGGATGGATGGATGGTAGGTAAATGGATGGAAGAATGGATGGATGGATGGATGGTAGATGAATGAATAGAATAATAGATGGATGGATGAGTGGATGGATGTATGTATGGATGGATGGATAGATGGATGAATGGATAGATGGAAGGATAGAAGGATGAATGGATGGGTGGATGGATGGATGGATGGATGGATGGATGGATGGATGAGTGGATGGAGAGATAGTGGATAAATGGATTGATAGATAGAAACATGTCTGGATGCATGATGAATGGATGATGAATGGATGGATGGATGGATGGATGGATGGATGGATGGATGGATGGATGGATGAATGGATAGATGGAAGGATAGAAGGATGAATGGATGGGTGGATGGATGGATGGATGGATGGATGGATGGATGGATGGATGAGTGGATGGAGAGATAGTGGATAAATGGATTGATAGATAGAAACATGTCTGGATGCATGATGAATGGATGGATGGATGGATGGATGGATGGAAGGATGGATGGATGAATGGATAGATGGAAGGATAGAAGAATGGATGGATGGATGGATGGATGGATGGGTGGATGGATGGATGGATGGATGGATGAATGGATAGATGGAAGGATAGAAGAATGGATGGAAGGATGGATGGATGGATGGAAGGAAGGATGGATGGATGGATGGATGGATGGATGGATGGATGGATGGATGGATGAAAGGATGGATGGATGGATGGATGGATGGATGGATGAAAGGATGGATGGATGGATGGATGGATGGATGGATGGATGGATGGACGCATGGATGCATGGATGCATGGATGCATGGGTGAATGGATGGAAAGAAGTAAGAAAAGAGGGAAGACAGACAAGTAGGTTATTTCACCAAAGCCTCAAGAAACCACAAGCAGGCAGATGAGGGGAAGCTGGCAGATGTGTTCTGAGCAGCAGGGACCAACACACAGATAGCAGCATCGTTCGCATCCAGTGACAACAGCCAAGTGGGCTGTGTCAATGCAGGTCAGGCGCCCTGTCCCCTACCACTTAAACCATTTACTTGAAGCCAACATGCCAAAACACAGACACACACCAACCCTGAATCCGAAACAGCATTAGCAGCCCATCCTAAAAACTAGATACAACATTCAGGTCTACAAATTCAAATATTTAGGCATCAAGAACAGATCTATCAAGTTTCACTGGCTGCAGATACTCTTTCATGGTTTAGCTCAACACATAATACTGAGCATCTCTTAGACTTATATCAAGGTGGATAATATTTGATCAATGTGTCTCCATGTTGAGAAAACACCTCTGCTTCGACCCACATACTCGATACTCATCTTGATGCAGATTCAACAAACACTACAAAATGCAACGCAATGACCAGGTCCTGGAAAATCATGCTTTATATAAACAGACACTACTGTAGACTAATGGTTTCCCCCAAACCATGGTTTCTGCAACGACAAGGGCATTCAGTGATTATGTCCTTCTTATGAAAGTTCCAAGGTCATGATTACATAGGGTTTTGCCCTTCTTCGCGTGATCATCCCAGAAGTAAAACTCATGAAACTGTTCTACATTAACCCTGAAATTTCTAGAATTGTCCCATGCCTCATAACTGGATTCAACATTTTAATTTTATCTCTGTCCGTAAAAACGTGTTTCTGGCAATACACATGAAATGTGTTCTCTACCACAGGTCTAAAAACCTCAAGGTCTACCCACTAGTCAGGACAGATACTCTTTCTCCTGTGTTAAAGGGTTTCTGTGAGAACAGCACCTAATTTTTGTGTGTTCACGCTGCGTATTTTATAGCTGGAGACAAAAGTGAGTAATGACCGACATCAGAAGTACTAGCTTTCCTCTTTTTTCCTGGTTTCTTTTGTTCTCTGCATCTTATGGAAGTTCAAGATCAAGAACCCCATGGAAGATACGGAGAAAACCAACATTTAAAGTCACACCTAATGTTCATTTAGCCTAAGAAGAATAAAAGACTGTAGAAGATTTTCTAGGGAAATAAATGTACCTCGCTTCTTGGTAGCGTAAATGGACTCCTAAACAACCCTAAGCCAATTCTTCAGAAAGGATGCTTTTATTTTGGAAAAAAAAAAAAAAAGTTCCAGTTAAACTATTTCTACCTTGGGAGCTATGCCTTTTGAAACCCACCCCCCATCCCCCAATGCCTGCAGTGGACAAAATCCTTCAACCAGGACAACCAGCTGTTTTTCCCAATTTCTGAATCCCGTTTCCAAATATTAAATGACGTGAAGTCTATTCAGACATCTGGCTGATATGAATGCCCTTAGTAGGACCACAATATCCCAGAGGTCCATGCATTCCATGTGCAAGGTAAAAGAAATGCTTTGCAACTCCAGAATCTGACGTGGTTTCCCCTAAAGATGTCAGAAAATGTTCTCATGCATCCTTCCCTCATGAGCACACCTGACTCCTCCTGGCGAAGCATCATGCTGGGTTAAGCATTTTGAGAGAGAGGGAACCATATACTTGATAAACACAAATCTGCTTTGACTGAATTCCTACTTATTTAACTTCTATGCTATTTCTAGTAGACACAAGAGAAAAAAGAGTTTTCTCCTCTCTGTTATAATCGTTGGTCTTTCTCAGACATCTGGTTGACCTGGTCTTCAGTCCATTTGGGCCCCATGAAACTTTCACCATTCGGTCAACCAACTATGGTTTCTTGGGTGCCTCCTGATAAAAGGCTTTAGATCATATGTCAGAAATAAGACCCAATGCAACCTCCATTGCCAGAAAAGGGATATAAAACCAGCTCACTTTAGGTCTCCCAATCCAAAAGCTGTGTAGGAATTTCAGTCGATAAGAGTTTGTGGACCTAGAAATCTGGAATGATGAGAGAAGAAGAAACTCCATCCCTATGGTCCACATTTGCCTGCATCCACATCTATTCAACTCTGCTGGAAATTTCCCAAGAATCCCCAGGAAGGGGTCTTTTCAACACACGAGGTCAATGGCTACGCATAAGGAAGCAGATCATAGGGAGGATGAGAAGTTCAGACATCAGAAGGCTCCTCCTTGGAGAAGGGCCATCTAGTCCGTGAGATCCTTCCCACAAACCACATCACAGCCCACCCCTCACTAGTCCTGCAAAGCTGAAGACAAAACCTAGAAAGAGGGGTGCAGAGATGTATGTTCAAAACAGAATTAACCCACATCAGGACAACTCTTAAGGAATTTAGGGACTTTGGAGTATGAGGTCCGAAATCACGGAATGATGGAGTTCCAGTAACTGAGGTGCTTAAGGTGGCCTGCTCCTCACTGCCCCTTAGAAATTGTATGTCCCATGTGAAGACCTTCCTGGGTCCTGCTGGTACGGGGTTCAAGCAGAAAAGGAAGAGCTGCCCTGTGTTTCTATTTTAATTTTACTGGGTAGAAAAGGAATACAGTGGGCCCTCTGGCCATGCTTCTTGTCCTCATGATAGTGAAGGTGGCAGTGATTTTAAACAAAGATGAACAAATCCTAGGAGCTAACATTTCTACACCACTCACTCTCAGCCGGGCAACCGGTCGAGACTTTCACACACAGTCTTACTGATCCTCACAGAAATTAGAGAATCATCTCCCCCTTGATGGATGGATACTCCAAGGACTGGAGTGGTTACTAGCGCACATGAGTTCACAGCTAAACACAAGGCCACGCCGAGATCAAACATAATCTGATGCCAGTATTCCAGCGCTTTCATGATCAGCCGACTTCCTCACGTTTAGTCCCACCTGAATTCTGCATTTCTAACTATTTTTACAATATTTTTTTATTAATTTTAGAGACAGAGGGAGAGTGTGAGAGAGAAACATTGACTGGTTGTCTCCTGAACGCCCCCTGATGGGCCCATCACTGGGAATTGAACCGGTGACCTCTTGGTGCAAAGGACAACACTCAACCGACTGAACCACACTGGCCAGGGTTTTAAGTTTTTTTTTTTTTTTTAAGAAAGCAGTTTTTACATTAGCAAGGCACAAGAGAGAGAAAGCAGAGGTGAAAACCTTACCGTTTTCTTTGAAACAAAACTTCTTTTTCTGGTAGGCAATAAAGCTCGAAATGGCTCCGGCCACAGCCACCACAATGGCCCCGATGATACCAGGGATCACCCCTTGAGGCTCGGCTGTGGGAAGAACACAAGACACTGTGATTGGGCAACATTCACCGAGAGCCCGCAGGGCAGGTGGGTGGTTGTGCGCAGGGAAATAAGGTTAAGGGCAAGTCACAGGGCGACTGTGGATGGAGCCCCGTTCCTGAACATTGCCCAATGCCCAAACACAGACTCGAATCCTTGGGCACCATACAAAGGGCCAGCTACAATGCGTATTCCCGGAGGGTACCTCCGATCTGATCCCAGAAAGTCATACCTTGAATTGCAATTACTTCTACGACTCACACTGTGTCCAATCCTAGTGGTCTCCAGTGGGACAACCTGCCATGGCTTTTTGTCCCTATGCTGTGACCAGCACTGGGTTCTGACAGCTCCAAGAGGGAGCCCTCAGGCAAAGAGACACGTTCTGCAGTGGCAGGGGCCAGCTATGATGACACAATGCTGCAGCCTTCTGGGGCCATGTGGCAAACAGACTCTCGCTGTTCATGCCTTTCTAAAAACCCAGACCCAAGAAGTCAGAAACCAGGCATACGCACTCTGTCCCCCCTCGTCACTCCTCGAATTTCCTCCATCATCAGCACCGCCGCCACCACCACCACCACCTCCACCTCCACCTCCACCTCCGGCTGTAAGAGAGGGACAAACATATTGATCAGAAAGATTTGGGGGTGAAGAAAAATGCAACTCAAAGACCACCTCCTGTGACAACGACTTGTGAAGGACCCTCCGCAGACGAGACCACAGCAGTGACAAGGACATTTAATATCAGGGAGTCCTTATCCATTGTCGAGCATAATGTCCCTCCCTGCCGAAGGTATCATCTGTCTCACTCACATTTACCGAAAACCTAGCTCAAACCGTCCTTGTACAGTGGACTCCAGGAGACCAACCACCCACTGAGTCTTGAAGGTGCCTCGGAATTCTGTCCCCTCATCGTGGGCTTGGGGACAATCCAGGTTGTGTCCTGAGACCCTGCCCATGGTGATGGTGAAGGGGCACAGAAATCCAAGGCCTTGTTTCTGTTGATTCCAGAATATATAAAATATATCAAGGCAAACTATGTGTAAATGTAGCAAACACATACAGAGGTATTCTGATCATTAGCATCATATAATTCTTTATTTATTTTTCATGGTTTTTTAATCCTCACCCGAGGATATTTTTTCCATCTATCTTCAGATAGAGTGGAAGAGAGAGACAGAAAGAAAGAAACATTGACATGAGAGAGACACTTTAACTGGTTGCCTCCCGCACGACTCCGACCAGGACTGGGAACGTAACCACAACTGAGGTACGTGCCCTTCGCCAGAATCGAACCTGGGACTCTTTGGTCCACAGATCAATGCTCCAACTGCTGAGCCAAACCGGCTAGGGCTATTGATTCATTGACCGATTATTGGACATACTGTTTCAGACCCTCCTCTGACCTATGATTTCAAAGAGGGAGCCAGAAACATCTTTTCTAGTTGGAACGAGGCCCCTGAGTGTCTTTTGGCAAAGTCACATCCCTCCATTCTGGGAGCCGGGATTTTCACATTCATTATTTGTGCAAAAGAGCTCACGAGCCACGTGAGATCATTACAAAAGACGCGTGACTGGTTTGATTCGGAGATGTCTGGGAAATTTCCACTAAGCTCCATCCCTGTAGGAAAAGGACAGAAACGCCCCCGAACCATCAACAGAGCAGCTGGGAACTACCTTCTACAGGGCAGGGTTTACAATCCACCCCTTGATGTATCAATAAACAGCATAGCTCAGAGGGAGAGACCTAAGGCCTAACACTTTGTCATGCTCTGGAGAGCAGGTGAGCCATAGCCGATAGATGGAGAAAGAAACCAAAGAAGGAGACCGTCACTCTACCTCCGCCGGATGTGGCATCGAAGAGGTCAGAATCTGAAAATCCACCTGGAAAAGAAAAAGAATGTCATCTCTCCCAGCGGAACGGTCGCGAAGGCGTCTAAGTCTTGTATGGAAGGGAACACCCTGTAAACCCAAAACACGTCCGAGGGGGACCCCACAAAGGGACTACTTGATGGACGACATCTTCCCAAAATGCGATGACAATCAAATTCCATTTCTGTTTTGAAACTCCTAAAACTAGTCCTGCCCGAAAGTCGGCTGATCGACCTAAATAGAAGATGCCGAAAGGAACAGGAATTGTACACCAATGTTTTGGATGGACATAAAGATAATGATCTCAAAGGGGTCAATCTAGTGTAGGTTCATGTCATTGCTGGCCCTCATTTTTCACTCTCTACATTGTGGGTTCCTCCTAGCTCTTTACGCTGGATCAGCAAGGAGACTTTGGGTAAAAAGATGTTAGTAAAATGGGAGACCAACCAATTATGTTTATGTAGACTCTTTGGGGCCTGCAGATCTTGCCCCTTAAAACTGAGCTCATATCAGGCTGGTGTTGAGGTGACGAAAAGCCCAGTCACTGCAGCTGAGGTCAGCCCAGACAAGGTGACCCTGGACACAGCAGAGGCAAGCCAACATCAGATAAGCCCAGCCCAGACTCGTTAGACAGCATAACTTTTTAAAAACGTTAAGCCTTTGGATTTAGAAACAGTTCATTAGCCAACAATAGCTAGCCAATACACATCAAATCAAATCCATCAGTTTAATAAAAGCCTATCAGGACGAACTAGAGTTTATTCCAGGAATGCAAAGATATATTTTATAAAAAAATAAAAATAAAAATAAAAATTCTTCAATATACCTCTTGATATTGATGGGTTTAAAAAAAAACAAAAACAAAGGAAGGCTATCTCTTTGATGACCAGAAGCACCTGCCAACAATGTCACATTTTATTCCTGTTTAGGAAGTGAAAAGGGAATTAGAATAGGAAGCAATTTCCTGAAGTGAATACCAGTCTTTAAAAAAAAAAAAAAAAATGTATTTCATCTAAAGTCAGTTATGACAAATGTCTGTTTCCTCCTCTCGTAGTTGAAAGTTGACTTGGGTTTTGTAGCAAAGCAAAAGGATACAAACAGAAGTACATTGTAGACAAAAAAAAAACAACATAAGGGAAACATTTTTCAAAAATTATCACGTTACAATGTGACGCTCTTCTTAGAAAAGTGACCCAAGGAAGGGAATGCATTAGCTGCTAACAGGCTGATCATGCCCTGGCTGGTTTGGCTGAGCGGTTAGAGCGTTGGCCTGCGGACCAGAGAGTCCCGGGATCGGTTCCCGCTAGGGGCATGTACTTGTGTTGTAGTTTGTCCCCAGTTCCGGTGGGGGTCATGTGGGTGGCAACCATTTGATGTGTCTCCCTCACATTGATGTTTCTCTCCCTCCCACTCTATCTGAGGATTAAAAAAAAAAAAAAAAAAAAAAAGATTTTTAACTAAAATTTTTTTTCTTTATTGATTTTAGAGAGAGAGAGAGATAGAAACATCAATGAGAGAGAACATTGACTGGCCACCTCCTGCATGCCCCACCCCCTGGGAATTGGGCTCACAACCTGGGCATGTGCCCTGACCAGGAATCAAACTGGTGACCTCTTGGTGCAGGGTCAATGCTCAACCACTGAGCCACACCAGCCAGGATCTGATCCTGGCTCAGTTGGTTGGAGTGTCATTCCATGCACTGAAGGGTAATGGGTTTGGTTCCCAGTCAGGGCACATGCCCAGGCTGTGGGTTCAATCTTCAGGCAACCAAACAATGTTTCTCTTTCACACTGATGTTTCCCTCTCTCTCCCTCTCTCTTCCTCTCTTTCTGAAATCAATAAAAGCATGTCCTCAGATGGGCATTAAACAAAATAGTCTTTTAAGTGCATGAACATTACTTAAATGTGCTTTGTAATTTATCATTCTAAAATTTTAGAACAAGGAATACACATTTTCAAATTTTGGGATCTGTCATGATAGTATATACCACCGCCACTAAAAGTCAACACCCATCAGAAAGAATATTTGCACCCCTATGTTCACAGCAGCGCTATTTACAATAGCTAAGATCTGGAAACAGCCCCAGTGTCCATCAGCAGATGGGTGGATAAAAAAGCTGTGGTACATCTACACAGTGGAATACTATGCAGCTATAAAAAAGAAGGATCTATTACCCTTTCAGACAGCATGGAGGGACCTGGAGAGTATTATGCTGAGCGAAATAAGCCAGTCAGAGACAGACACTGTCACGTGATCTCACTTATATGTGGTATCCAATTAACAAAACAATCTGATGAATAAAATAGAAACAGAGGCATAGATACATGGCACAGACTGATGAACCTCAAAGGGAAGTGGGAGGTGGGAAGAGATTAACCAAAGAATGTATATGCATATAAGCATCACCTAAGGACATAGACAATAGGGTGATGAAGGCCTGGGAAGAGGTGGGAAGCAGGAGGAGGGAGCCGATAAGGAAATAATGGGAAACATCTGTAACACTCTCAACAATAAAGATTTTTAAAAAGTTATATGATAAAAACTATGAAAAGATCTGAGAAAATGTTTCTAACTAATCAATAAGCAAAAAAATAATGTTATGACCTAGTATAAAAAATAGACATTTTTCCTCAATTTGTTTCATGTAAATTCACATATAAAATGTTGAAGAGAATAACCTTCAAAATGTAAACAGTGGTAGAAGATGGACAATATTTGTATTTTTCTGTGTTAAAAATTTAAAAAATACATAACCGCCCCCCCCCCAAAAAAAATTCTCAAAATCTGAAATTTAAACAGGCATTCAATTTTTTAAGAATCAACTGGTAGTCAGGTTAGTCTGAGTGTACTGTGATGTGTCAAAAATGGCAAAATGTTTCTAAAAACAAGCTGATACCTTTCCTCATATTGATTCTGTATATTAAAAACCTTGCATTCAGTCCTTTAAAGGGCTCATAAAACCTTGGCAGTACCATTAGCAACCATTCAATAATTATCACATGCAAACCAAAAATAAGTTGTTTTTTTTATATACAGTCCTCCCCTACGGGAGAATTGGAATTCCCCTGCACAGAGAAACAAAAATGACCACATGCAAATCTGAAATTACCCCCTTCTCAGCAGATGTGGAGATGACAGTTCTTTGAAAAACACACATTGGACCTGCAGATCTTTTACGTCTTACCAGAAGTTCCAGGATGGTTGGGCTGTGGATTAGGTTTTGGTTTCGGTGGAGCAGGAGTCACTAGGTAAAAGATGGAAATTGCAATTATGAGCAATTTTTAGTAAAGAACACAAAACACCCATTGGCATGCATGTGGTTTACTAAGCATATCATTGGTCAAGGTGGGGATACCTTTGTACACTCAACCACCTGCCAATTTCTTTTCCATCGTCTTCCAGCTGCAATAGTTGAGTTCACGTCTATCCAATAGAAACTAATAAGCACATGTCTGTTCCAGCTACAAGAGTTGTGGTCCTCATGCAAAATGAAAATACCAGGACCCCAGATCATGTGTCAATAATTTCAATATAGCACAACACAGTGTTCAACCACGGATGGGTCCCCTTCAGAGTAACTGACTGCAAATCACATGGCATGAAATCTGCCCTGGCCAGGGTAGTCAATTTTCCTTCAGAGGCGTTGCTTTTTCAAAAGAATGAATTCGTGCCCTGGCCAGTTTGGTTCAGCGGTTGAGCATCGACTTGCAGACCAGAGAATCCCGGGTTCAGTTCCCGCTAGGGGCATGTACCACCAAAAAAATTAAAAATAAAATGAAAGAATGAATTTGTTATTTTTATGATGCATCCTTTCATGTCATCTGTATTTGGACAGAAACTGGAATTAAAAATTTTAAAAACAACGATTCAGACTGAGTTTTTATTTTTATTTTTTTTAATTTACTTTTTGTTCAGACAGAGTGGGAGGGAGAGGGCGAGAGAAACATCAACGTGAAAGGGACACATCGAGTGGTTGCCACCCACACGACCCAACTAGGGCCGGGGACACACTGCAACCGAGGTACGTGCCCTTAGCGGGAACCGAACCCGGGTCTCTCTGGACCACAGGCCGGTGCTCTAACCGCTGAGCCAAACCGGCCAGGGCCAGACTGAGTTTTTAAAATTAACATGAGCACACAGCCCTGGCCTGCTTGGCTAAGCAGTTAGAGCATCAGCCCACTTGGAACAAAGAGTTACGGGCTTGATTTCAGTCAAGGGCACATACCTTGGTTGTGGTTGGGTCCCTGGCCCGGGTGAGGATCATGCAGGAGGCATGTGTCTCTCTCACATCAATGATTTTTGTTGTTGTTGGTTTTTTTTTCCTCTCTCTCTCTCTCCCTTCCACTGAATCTGAAGATAAGAAGAAAAATATCCTCGGGTGAGGATTAAAAAAACAACAAAAAACAACAACCAATACCACACCAATTCCATAGGTTTTCCTCCTCAAAAAAAAAACAAAAACAAAAACAAAACCAGCTTCATGTATCACTTTATAAAGATAAGGCTCTTTGAGTGATGATACTTTGGTGATAATAAGCAAATGAAGCAACTAAGAGATGTAAGAGTGATACTCACTGTGTCCCCCATCACCCAAGCCATCTTCTAAGCTGAAGTCATCACCTGAAGGAGGAAAAACTGTTCACACCCCAGTTCAGGGAGAAAAATAAAAGGAAAAGCCTTCCTTTGGAGAAAACACTACATGGCCACATCCCTAAATTCTTTTCTGAACATCATTCTGACCGAGACCTCCATGGGAAAAATGAATCCCCAACTCATCTTCACATCATGCATGTCTCCAACAAAAAGAGTAAAAGACAACAGAAAAATGAAAAAAATTGATAAACCAAGGACGCCCCATGGACCCAAGTGGACTTCTAACTCTGCTTCCTGAAAACTCTGTACTGCCTCAACTATATCCTTGGTGAAGAGATAGAGTGATTCATGATGGTTTCAAACAATGTCTTCTTGGTTTGAAGAACTCTTTTCAAATTCCAGCCACTCCTAGAAATGCTGGTGTAGGCACCCAACACAACAGTATGGACCTACTGTGACTCCTAGGTGGGACCTCAACATCCCGGCAGCACAGAGCTCATGATGGGACAAATTCACTTATTCAACCCTAATTTATCCAGCATCGTCTATGTGCCTGAACAATTCAAGGACCTGCGTTTGAATGAAGACATGCTAACCCTTCCGTATGGAGATGACCTTCTATGAAGGCTCTCAAAAATTAAACAGAGGTGTTATTGTTGAAAAAAACAACAACAAAAAAACACAAAGGAGAGTCATAGATCTCTACAACTTTTGGCCTCAGTTATACGCCGAGTGGCTAACCACCCATAAATTATACCCTTGGGCAATTCTATTATCTGTCTCTAATTTCTGAGTTTTATTCGAAAGAATCACTCCTCATGAATGCACGGATGTCCGGAGGCCAAAGTCAGACTTTTCTCATGGGGTATATGGGGGTCTCAACCCCTAAAATTATTTCTCCCAAGAAATGATTACCCCAAAGGATCACAAACAGTCAAAGACCTGCAGAAAGACTGTCCAAATGACCCATCAGTATCTCACGGAAGAGTCACCACTCATTCTTATCGAAATCATTGGACGTCACAATGCCATTCAAATATCTATCAGACCATGTGCCATTCAAATATCAGACCATGTGCCATTCAAATATCAGACCATGTGCCATTCAAATATCAGACCATGTGCCATTCAAATATCAGACCATGTGCCATTCAAATATGAGACCATGTGCCATTCAAATATCAGACCATGTGCCATTCAAATATCAGACCACGCACCTACATACGTGTCCACACCACGTCCAGCTCACAGAAACAGGCACAACAGTAGTAGACCCAAACCCTTTGCATCCAAAGAACATGTGCTTCTTACCAGAACTGGGCTTTTTGGTGGTTACCATGGGTTTCTTGAAATCTACAGAGAAAAGACATTTCAGTCACCAAAACTTGCATCTAGGACACAAAGTCAACTCTCATTGATATTCCATTTAAAAAAAAAAAATGTCAAAGCATTAAAACAAAATTATAACAGGCATGGTTCTGGCTGAGTAGCTCAGCTAGTTAGAGTGGCGACCGGATCCACTGAGGTTGCAAGTTGACCTCGAGTCAGGGGACATGGCAAGGTTGCAGGTTCAGTTCATCGATTGGGAGGCAACACATCGATGTTTTTTTCTCTCTCTCTCTCCCTCTCTTTCTCTCTCTCTCTCTCAAATCAATAATAACATATCCTTAGTTGAGGAATAAAAAAAAAAAAGAATGAACCAATGAATGTATAAATAAGAACAACATATCGAAGTTTCTCTCTCTCTCTCTTTCTAATCAACCAATTAAAAATATGATAATGATTTTAACAGTTATCTTTTCCTCCGTCCAACCATTTCTCATACCAACAAGTCCTGTAAAATAGCAACCGTTTCCTACTTTTAAGAGTGTACGCAGGCCAGGGTATGTTAAAAGTTCGACTGTCAGGAGACAGTCTATCAAAGGTCTTCCCCAAAACAAGGCAACCTGGACATACAAGTAGAAACATTGGTGGACTTTATACATTTTTTAAGTATGTATTTATTTATTTTAGAGAGAGATTGATTTGTTGTTCCACTTATCGATGCATCCATTGGTTGACTCTTTTTTTTTTTTTTATCCTCACCCGAGGACATTTTTGCATTGATCTTCAGATAGATCAGGAGGGAGAGAGGGAGGAAGAGAGAGAGAGAAACATCGATGTGAAAGGGACACATCCACTGGTCACCACCCACACGACCCCAACCAGGGCCGGGGACAAACTGCAACCGAGGTCCGTGCCCTTAGCGGGAACCGAACCCGGGTCTCTCTGGTCCGCGGGCCGACGCTCTAACCGCTGAGCCAAACTGGCCAGGGCATTGACTGACTCTTTTATATGCCCTGCCTGGGGATCGAACCCGCAACCATGGCGTCTTGGGACGACGCTCTAATCCACGGAGCTGGATCGATGGACTTCCATATGATTTCAGGGAATGTCATTTTTGTCATTGCGAGTCTTCAAATGGACTTGACCAGGAGTTGAGCACAAACACTCATCGGTGAGCCCCAGGTCTGGGCAGGCAGAGGAGAGACACGGCTCATGTTTCTTAGCGGCACCCCGGATTGGCTGAGACCCCTCACCAGGCTGCTCCCAAAGGACAGAAGCTGAGGTTACGAGACCCAAGAAGCCTCCGGCACTGTCTTCCTAGCAGCCGAGAAGCATGATGCCATCAGAAGTAAGTTTCCCCCATGAACTTCGGCCCACACTTTTATCTTCTTGGTTTGGACTCCAGCCTCTGCCCGGCACCACAGGACTTTAAAGGCTACCCCGGGTTGAACACCGTGCCCCCAAAACTCACGTCCACCTGGAACCGCAAAATAGGACCTTATTTTGAGGGTCTTTGCGAGCAGCCCCGTTCGAGACGAGGTTATGATGGAGGCCACGGTCAATTTGCCCAGGTCCTTGTCAAAGCAGGGACCCAAAGAGAATGAAGTTTGGGTGCAGACACAGGGGGACCACGTGAAGAGGAGGCAGAGATCGGAGCTCAGCCAAGAAATGGGGTTCCTGCTCCGTCCCCCCTCAGCCTGCCCACCTGGACACTCCGCACCCCAAGCTCCTGTTTCTGCCTGTTGGCATCCGTGACCCACTGGGGGCTGTTTATTCATCTCGCCAAGGGCATCTTTTTTATCTAAGTATGTTTTCATTGCTTTTTTAGAGACAGAGAGAGATAGCAACGTGGATGTGAGAGAGATACATCGATCAGTGCCTCCTGCACGCCCCCCACTGGGGATCGAGCCCACAACCTGGGCCTGTGCCCTGACTGGGCCTCGAACCCGGACCTCTCAGGCCATGGACGGCGCTCAGCCCACGGAGCCACGCCAGCCGGGCATCTTGACTTGCCTGACCTTACTGAGTCTCCTTGTCCAGTCCACACGTCTAAATCCCAGTAAAATATTCCCAGTATTTTTTTTTTTAATTATGTCGTTAATATGATTGCTTCCACGTTGGCCATACTACTCACCATCCACGGCATCCGATAAATCAAAATCATCTAAGACAGAGAGAGAAAAAAAAAAAAGTCCTGTTAGACATTTAAAAAATCAAAGTAGACTTAAAAATTAAGGAAACAATTTTTTTTTTAAAAAAAGGGGGGGTCTGGGGCTGGATGGTGGATGTGCGGACGTGTTGTGGTTTCCCTTTTACTGTTCAATATTCACTTAGATTCCTCCCAGGGACCTGTTAGTTCATCCTGCCTTCTGTCAGCCACCACCTGTGATGCTGAGCAGGTGCGAGAGAAAAATGCAACCATAGAGGAATCATCACGGGGGGACTGAGCCATCGTGAGGAGAGATGGTGACCCTCCTTGCTCTGTTCTGATGACAGCAGTCTCCCGGCGACCTGGCGGGGAGCCGGACGCCCCGGGAGTTCACGTCTGGGGGTTGCCCCCGGGCATGCTGCCCGGCTCCTCATCTGAGCACCAGGGGAAACTACTGCCGTCACAGAAGGACTTGCAGCCTTGGAGCCCTGCAGGCGGGGACAGCGGAGAAAACCCTTCCAGCCCCCTGGCCACACGCCAGCCCGCATCCCTTCCCCTCCGTGGGATCTGTAACTGTCTCCGTCATTGTCCTTCGTCCTGCCTGCCTGCCCTTGGCCCACAGCTCCCAGCACAAGCCGTGGCCGGGGTTTGGGGGGTCCCGAGCAGATTTGCCAGGGGCGACCCCTGCTGTCCCTTGCACGACTCGAACTCGGCTCCGCGTCATTGGCCCCGGGACGGACATACAGCCCAGGCTTGGTTTGGGCCCAGTCTCAGTCCCACCGTCAACCAAGGCGCCCCGTAGAAACAGACAGCCCGGAAAAACTTTTTTTTTTTTCCTTTTTCGTTTTTGGGGATCACCGGGATCCCAGAGAAGGAGGAAGTTAGGGTCCGCCCGCGCTTGGATCAAAAGGAAACTCAGGGAGTTGTGGGAAAGTCCGCTTGGACGGTGTGGTGGGCTGGAAGGGAGACAAAACAGGCTCAGAGGATGACTGGGCCAGCCCAGATGTCAGGGAAACGGGGTGACTCACGCAGGGCGAGGCCACAGCCGCACCCACTGGGCGAGGACGCGACTCATCCTCAGAGGACTCTCCTTCCACACGAGTTCTGATTCCAGCAATCTTTCCATTTCAACTTGCGCCAGTCAGCCGGCGACGCAGACAGGGGGACCCCAGTGAATCTCCAAAGCCCAGGGTATCGGGGCAGCTTGTGGGGGGAGGGCGGGGCGGGTGTGCACCCTCACCTGTGATGAGCCCCCCCAATCCACGACAGAAGCACCGTGAGAAGCTAGGACCAGACTCTCTTCCATTCTGTCATTACAGTGCAGTTGTGTAGGAGTAAAGGGATGATAAGAACTTGTAAAAATTACAGAATCCATGGATGGGCATGTATAAACAAATACACATAAATTAAATGCAAATCAGAAATAGAATAGATGAGAAATGAGCTCTTTATAATAATACACTGTCTCACTCTTCAAACTGACACATAAATATCTAACGCTAAAATGGAAATGAATTATAGAAGGAACATGTGACTAGATAAAAATATAGGTCCAATAATACATTACAGAAATCACAAATTATGTCATTTATACCTAGGATGTGTAAATCACATAAATATATAGGACTAAAATGAAAATAGGTTAGAATAGAAATAAAATATGTGTTTAATAAATTATAGGTAACTATAAAATATATCATTTATTTATGCATAGAGTTTATAAATTATAAAAATAAACAGATATAGCCCGGCCTGTGTGGCTCAGTGGTTGAGCATCAACCACGACCTGCACCAAGAGGTCGCCGGTTCGATACCCAGTCAGGGCCCCTGCCCAGGTTGGGGGCCTGATCCCCAGTGGGGGGCGTGCAGGAGGCGGCCAGTCCATGTTCTCTCTTATCGGTGTTTCCTCTCTCTCTCCCTCTCTTTTCCTTTCTCTAAATTCAAAAAGAAAAAAAAAGGTGAAATCCTCCTTCCCAGCTCTTCCCAGGGGAAAAAAAAAAAAAACTAGATATAAAATATAAATAGGTATACAAATAAAATATGAATATTTATAATAATAGATTATAGAAATAAACAGAATGGAAATAAATGACCATTCCTAATCATAGACTGTAGAAACTATAAACCACATCGTTTGAAAACAGAACCTATAGCCCTGGCCGGTGTGGCTCAGCGGTTAGAGCGTCGGCCTGCGGTCCGGAGAGACCCGGGTTCGGTTCCTGCTAAGGGCACGTACCTCGGTTGCAGTGTGTCCCCGGCCCTGGTTGGTTGTGCGGGTGGCAGCCACTCGATGTGTCCCTTTCACGTCGATGTTTCTCTCTCTCTCTCTCCCTCTCTCTCCCTCCTGCTCTACCTGAACAAAAAATGGAAAAATATCCTCGGGTGAGGATAAAAAAGTAAATAAATAAATAAATAAAACAGAACCTATACATTAGATAAATGAATCCACGGATACAGAAAACAGAAATAAAATGATGGAATTAAACACTGGGTGGTGAGATGCTTGCTCAGACTTTCAGATTTTCCTCATTAATAACAAGAATAACCGAACAATACACCAAGCGGGCAGGGGTGAGTGTTCTGGGGGCCTGTGTGTTTCCGGAGCTTTCTGGGTCACCCAGCTGATTTCCAGGGCGTTGTGCAGATGGGAGATGTGGAGGCCGCCCCTGGGACCCCTCCCCGCACCCCACTCTCAGAGAGAGTGTCCCCACGCCCTGCAGCGGGTAGGACGGTCACATCTGCTCACAGCTAGTGCCCCCCTGACCCCGTCTAGCGGGGCTCCAGTGCCTTCCATGCAGCCCGTGGTCTCTCCAGTCTCCCCTAAAGGCATAATGAACACCCCACACAACGACCAGGACAAGACGCAGCGAACAGACGTGCCCTCCACACCCATGTCCCCTGACACCAGGCAAAGGTTTCCCGGACAAAGCACCAGCCAAACCCTCGAAAACCTGCATCCCCAGTACGTATGGGTGTGGGGAGCCTGAGGCGGGGTCCTTTGCTTAGAGAAAATTCCAGCACAAAGCCCAGGCCCTGCACACAGGGGACAGGCAGAGGGTACCCGAGATTCCCCGGCAAGGAGGGAGCTGAGGGGAACAGACCACAGCCTTTGGCATTTTAGCTCGTGGCATTTTTTTTTTTTTTTTAATCCTCACCCGAGGTCACTTTTCCATTTTTTGTTCAGATAGAGTCGGAGGGAGAGAGAGAGAGAAACATCGACGTGAAGGGACACATCGAGTGGCTGCCACCCGCACGACCCACCAGGGCCGGGGACACACTGCAACCGAGGTCCGTGCCCTTAGCGGGAACCGAACCCGGGTCTCTCCGGACCGCAGGCCGACGCTCTACCCGCTGAGCCACACTGGCCAGGGCTTCGCTCGTGGTATTTTAAAGCATCGGAGCACCCTGCCTTTTCCCTGGTGGGGGGGGATCGCGTCTGAAACATGTCTTTCCAGGCACATGCAATGCAACACTGCGCTGCAGGGACACGTGGGGGCAGGATGTTGTCGGAAGAACTCTGGCCACAGGTCCGCAGGAGGATGAATTTGTGATGATGCACATTTGAGGGCCAGAGAAACGGCAGCTCGATCCCAGGCACTTGGGGAGCCCACGCCAACAGGGTAGTGCACATTCTGTTCGGCGGTTCAAAGCTACACAGTTGGGCAACCCTGAGAGCTGAGTGTGTCACCGTGACCATAGGGGCGGCGGTCACCAGGCGGCCAGAGCCTTCTCTGCTGGGCTGGTGCGGAAAAGCATGAACCTCGGGGCCACAGCAAGTTTTCAATCCATTCTGCATTTTGTCAGCTTTAAAAACACACACAGGTTGCTCACCTGACCCGGATCTGAGGTGACCTCAGGTCCAAAGAACCAACTCCGATGCCCTGGCCGGTCTGGCTCAGTGGCGAGAACACTGGCCTGCGGACCAGAGAGGCCCGGGTTTGGTTCCCGCTAAGGGCATGGATCTTGGTTGCAGTTTGTCCCGGCCCCGGTTGGGGTCGTGTGGGTGGGTGGCAGCCACTCGATGTGTCTCTTTCGCAATGATGTTTCTCTCTCTCTCTTCCTCCCTCTCTCTCTGAAGATAAATGCAAAAATGTCTTCAGGTGAGGATAAGAAAAAAGATGCAACTCCGTTTCATCCTCAGTGGGATGTTCACAGCAGAGCGCAGAGAAGATGTGGCAGGTTCCTCTACATCCTTCCACAATATATTTGATAATAAGAGGATATTCCCATTTCTAATAAGCTTCTGGGGGACACTGACCCAGCTAGCCCTGGGACCCTTCTTGAGGACACCTACTGAGGTCCATGAGGAGCAGGGGGCACCCAAGATCCTCTACTCCCTCACCTCTGCTGCAGAGTGTTGGTTCCAGAACCCCAGTGAACTCAGTTTCTCCTACATGGAACTTAATCATAACAGTTCCTGTGGCATCTGATAAATGTCACTATGTCACTAGAAAATGTATAATCATCCCCAGCTTTGAGTCTCATGAATAAGTTGCTAGACCCTGAGAGTCACAGTTTGAGAACCTCCACCTTTCTGGAGGCTTTATTTGGATACTCTACTTGGCATTAATATCAAACCTCTTCTTCCCATACCAGGAAAACTCCTATTTATGCCTCAAAGCCCTGAGAAAATGACTCGTCCTCTGGGAAGCCCCTATCATTTCTTATTGATCAGTCGATGGGTGGTTGAATAGCTGAATGGATGGATGCATGGACGATGTATGGATGTATGTAGATGGATAGATGGATAAATGCATGTGTGGATGGATAAATGAATCAATAAATGAATGGATGAGTGGATGGATGGATGGATGGATGGATGGATGGATGAAGAATGGATGAATGGGTAGATGCATGAATGATGGATAGATGGATGGGTCAATGAATGATGGATGGATGATGGATGGATGGATGGATGGATGGATGAAGGATGGATGGATGATGGATGGATGGATGGATGGATGATGGATGGATGGATAGATGGGTGGATGGATGGATGGATGGATGGATTAATA